AGAAACATTTTAACATTTTTATACCCCTCAATGTGGTTAGAAAACGCTTTGCCTTGACTACTAAAAGGAAAGTCTTCAACACAAGCTGTTCCCTCTAATGTTGGTCTCATGTAGAAACTGTCAATAAAGCACAGAATGCTTCAGGGCAATGCTACCTTGTGACAAATGCACTGCTAAGCTACGAGACAAACATATAAGTCTTTGCCTTTCTCAGTTAGAGCCACACCTAGCTTGTTATGTTTGGTTTGGTTTGAAAAACACACACAGATGGCTATGGCCAAGTTGTGAAAATCATGGAAACAGAATGGTAGTTCACAAATCAGATGGCACCATGGTGGCCATGTCCATCTTTTTACTGACAGTGTATATAGTCTGGAATAAAAAGTCCACTGGCACCGTCTATTGAACCGATGATTATTGGATTCAAACAGGCCAGAGAGTAAACAATAAAAACACACATCTACCTTAACTTTTCATTTATATAAGTGAAGATAGATGCAAAGCAAACTGTTCCATATTTTGCCTTATGATTATAGTTTTAGCAGATTTTTCTTCCAGGTTTCTTAAAAGTGATTGGAACGTTTGTGTGGCATAAACAGACAAAGATGGTAGGGAACCGACATGGAAATATTCTATACTGACTTGTTTCTGTAGCTATACCACAGCCTTTCTCCCTGAATAAGCAGTATATGTGGACTGATCTGAGAAATAAGCAGTTCCAAGGAATCAAAAAATGTGAAAAACTTCTGCAAATAAAATCAAAATTAGCTTAGATCCCATTATCACATGTAAGTGGCTTAAAATGTATAAAAAAATTAGAAAGCAAGAAATGTGAATTAGTATTTATGCTGTCCAATCTATTATTTTTGCTGCTGCTATTGCATTTCTGAACCTAGAGTAAAATATTTCTTTGGTTAGATGGAGACCAGAAAAACAAGTTGCGAACAGAAGACCAACATTAACACCACCTCATGTTAATCCAGTCTTTTAATCCATTACCTGTGCAGTTGAATCCATTCATCACACCATCCAACACTCCTTTCGTGGTGTTCTCAAAAACATCAACTTGAGTAGAGTTCTCATCAAAGATGTGGTCAAAAACAAATTTTAAGTCTTTGTTAGCCTTCTTGTTGATGTTTCTGTTGCGCAGTTTTTGTGACCCAAAACAAGACAAGTCCTCTTCTTTAGGGTCAAATATGAGCATGTGGTTATCAACGACCTGGACGACATTTCGACAGTTTTCATGTCTCTCGGTCTCGTTGGCTGGTCTCACCCGAACAACCACCTTCACATGGCTACATACGTTGTCCGTCATTGTGGCCCCTCTGTAGGTAGTGACTGGGGTGTTACTGTAAAACAACAACAACTTTGTAAAAACATTTTATTTGTTTTCAAATTGCAAACACAGATTTACCAATATTTATTAGGTCATGAACAGGAAAATCGATGAGTAAACAGCAGGGAAGGAATTTCTTTTTCAGCAATCACTTGATAATTTAGCTTTTATAAAAAAATTTAAACTAAGCTCCTGCGCTTCTCAGCTTGATTAATGCAATAAACAGTATCTTCATATATTTAATTTCAAAGTCAAACATGGCTGAACAGATTGGGTTACATTTTGATTTTAAGATAAATGAAAGGAGAGAAACCTTTTACCTGAAAGTTATTTGATTTGCAGCAAATAAAGTGTTCAGCCACTGGCAATAAAACCACTAATATGAAAATAATTATCCTAATGCTACAAAATGAACATAAAAAATTGGTATGTCAATTAACTGTCTACTTAAGTTTTATGAATATGACAGATACACTACAACCCAATATCAGGGAAGGGAAATTTCAGTCCTAAAGCAGAGTAATAAAAGTAAAGCACAGATCAACTCAGGGGTAGACATAAGGAAATTTTTCAGTTGTCCATCGGACAACCTGTTGAAAAAACCTGGTTGTCCGCAAAACATTTTGGTTGTCCAAAAGAATCTCAAGAAAAATGTAATTTAATAAGTTTATTGCACCCCTACTTATTATATATAATTGTTCTCAGTCAGCCAGGTTGACAGGATCTGCGTAAAACTTTCTCATTCTCTTCTTTGAAATAGAGTTCAGCATTCATAAGCTTCTTTCTGCTCATAGGTCAACATTTTCACTTAAATAGGAGTATACGGTGTACATGACCTTATTAAAAGTTACAGTTTAGTGTTCTGTTCGGTTTTACCAAGTTTTTTCTCCCTTTCATTTTTACAAATGATGGACACCCGTGGCAGAGAACTTTAATCAAGGTCTTTTTTGCTTGGTTGTCCACCGGACAACCAGGAGACAGGATCTGGTTGTCCGAAACAAAAATAGGTTGTCTCGGACAACCTAAACAATGGTTATGTCTACCCCTGCAACTGGCCCATCTCTGAAGGTGTATGATTTATTACCATTAAGACAATTCGCATTAGCAACCAATTACTTCAGAGCAATGCAAACAAAAATTATTGCGGACACTGTAGTGCAGGCGACTAATAGCCCTTTATGGAGGTTAAATATTAATTTAAAAAAATAACTGCACTACACATACAATGCATAACAGAGCTACTTGAGCAAGCAAAAAAAAAAAACAAACAAAAAACAACAGGGTTAAAGAACTCAAAAGTTTTCTTTCAGGCATGTTGCTTTGAACTAATAAACTAGTATAACGGATGTTGATTTTGGTTCAATTAAACTAAGCAACATCCAACATGCCTGCACTGACAGTTAACTTGCAGTTTATTCCCCTAATCTAATTTAATCCACTATTCAGTGGTTCCCGAAGTTGGGGTCGGGACCCAAAGTGGGGTCCTGAAAAGATTTTCTAAATTAATTACATTTTTGCCTTAGTTGCCTAAAATGTATAAATGTAGAATAATAAATATTGTTACTATGCCCATGTTTAGTTGACCTGATTCAAATGTTTATCATCCAAAAAAATAGCTGTGGGCACAGGTCTCTGCTGTTATTTTGTGGGTAAAGCTGAAAGGTTTGGGAACCACTGCACTTCAGAAATCAATTTAAAGTGTAATAAAATAATTGGTGATGTAATATTTTCCTTGTAATTATTACAAAAACACCAAATACGTATTTGTGTAGCCTTTGTTTTAGGGTTATTAACAAAGTTTGTGTACTCAGACCAGTAATATTTGGGGTCACAAGTTTTTGCCATGGATATTTTCTGAGTCAGAAGATAAAAAGTTTGGGAACCACTGCACTATATACTAGTACTTAAGCTAAATTAATTATATAGATATTGGAATGGCACCTCACGCGTCTGTCACGACAGTCAGGAACATTTAACGGCAAAAGTACAACAAATGTTACTTTACAAATATAAAAAGGCACAAAAAGCACGTTGTGAGACGAATTGATCAAATCAATATAAGCATCAATATTCAAACAAAAGCGCACACACACTGCATTACGACGTTAGCCTGGTAGGAGTGGCAAACGTTTGCTAGCAAACTGAAGCTAACTAGCTAGCTATCCCAACTGCACGTCGTTAGTTGCGTGTTCTCCATATCAAAATACCGTCTTACCTCTTCTAACTAGCGGTTATTTCTCATTTCACAGTACTCTCTTTCTCCTGGTGAAAGTACGTAGTTCGCAAAATAAACATTAACTCGCTAACAATGCACAGCTGGCGATCGCTCTCATGACGACAAGCGCCAATATTTTCAAACAGAAGCGTTCTTCCTGTGTGACAGCTGATTGGACGCGAGTCACGCGGACGTGCTGACGCAGAGTGGTTTGGCTCGTGGTGACGCACGGGTCACGCAGACGTGTTGAAGGTGGAGCCTCAGTGGTCCACTACGGTAAGCTTAGACAGCACAGCATCAGTAGCTAGTTTTCACAAGTGTTTGGCACGATTCTCAGACTGTTGGGCACGGGTGTTGTTGGTGCAACGGTTTTAAACGCTACAGWAAATAATTTACATGATTTCGTGCATTTGTTTACACTTTGCGTAGCCATTTTGTTGTCGCGTGGTCAAAGGTGGTAGCATGGCACATCAACAATGAATATCCACAGCGTCGCCTCTCAAGTGTTTTCTGTAAAAACCAACAAACCACTGCCTGCTTCATATCTGATAAAACTACCACATTGTATGAATCTTGCGTTGCTAGGTCGAATACATTTCTGGTACCATGACAGCCCGAGAAATGGCCACAAACACCTGTTAGCATCCACACACTCAATTCACCTGAGCTCCATAGAGTTAGCTTCTTTTTTATGTCCTAATTTTTTGTTATGTCGTTTATAAGCGGCAGTATTATTATAACAGGTATGTGTGGGAAATTACAATTGGCTAAATTGCGCAATGAGTTCAGCCTTCATCCTACACCCAGTTAGGAGTAAATAAACAGTAACAACCATTCTGAAAATTAATTACAAGTCAGGCAGATGAGGTGCCACCCTTAGCTCTCCTTGTGCAAAAGGACCTCATCTACTACTACTACTACTACTACTACTACTACTACTACTACTACTACTACCTATAATAGTAACCATTATTCTTATATTATCAATAATTAAATGACTTGAAATATTTTCCATGCTTGTACAGGTTTAAGTTAATTTTCAACATTTATATTATAGGTTTTTCTTTTTCTCTGTTGCACATGTTTTAAAGAGTCTGTGACAAACTTGTCATGACAAATACAAATGCATTATTAGAAGGATACCATTAGTAACATATTGCAAAAAAATGACAGTGCTGAGATGAACAGTTGTGCAGATATATGCAAACGCAGCAAACAAAAGTGATGACAAAGAGGAACGCCTCCGTGTAAACAGATCATTGCTACAACAGCTAACAACACAGACTGTAGCAAAGAACCTGATGTGTGAGTCATTATTGAAAAGAGACAAAGAAGAGTCAGAGTTCATATAAACAAAGACCAGGGGGTTCACCTCTGTTCTCTCTTTTGGTAGCAATTTGTTCAAAACAAAAATYCCATTTATTTGATAAAATGAGTAAAATCACATGCATTTATTTAATATTAAGACATAAACTTCTTGTTGTAGTTGCCTGTCACATACACCTAAAATAAACTCAGGGTATACAGAAATTGTCTATTACTGTTGCTACTTTGTTGTAAAACAYCCATTGTTATGGTCAAAATGAGTGGAATATAATTTTGTTGCAAATATTGATTTCAGAACATGATTATAGCATGTTTTATAGATGATAGGTTGTGCCACACTTGAACATGACAACAAAAGCTGACAGATATTTAACTGCTACATATTATCAAGTTTTTATATAATATGTAGTGGATAAAAAGAATTGAGGTTTTAAATTGTACATTTATAAAATATTAATTGTAAATGCAAAGTAGGACGACTGTTATGCTGATGAAGATTAAAATTCAAAAATGTTTTTTGGCATAATTATGCACGTTTTTCATTATTAGTGTTGCCATTTTGCCTTTTTGATCGCATTATCACATAACATAACCTCTGTTCATTTCACAGATCATTGCAAGAGTCATGATGTTTCACTCTAAAACACACCTGGCTTTATGGAGAACGTGGAGGACGGTTACGTTGAGCTTACATTCGACTGCAGTTAGCACATCTCCCGGTCGAGCTTCCTCAGATGAATCCAAAGAAATCTCCTCAGTTTCTGCTGAAACCCCTCCTCACACACCTGTCATGCTTAAAGAGGTGCTCCATTACTTAGACATCCAACCAGCTCAGGTATGTTTACATCCTAATTATCTGTGCGAGCCTTTTGGTGTCCATGACTTTGTTTATGTTTATTAGTTTAAAGGGTAAACAGTAGAGGAATTTATCCTTTACTCACAAGACAGTCCAATATATACTACGGAGGATTACCAGATGCAATATTCTCTTATTCAGAACCATTCAGTGTGATCAGAAAATGTGTTAGGTGTGACCAGGCAGAAAAACCGATTGAAACGTAATGTGTTGTAAGAACTAAACAGTTTATAACAGTATCTTACTTTTTCATCAGCTGCATCTAATATGTTATTTTTTAAACATAAGTTTCTCATGGAATCTTTACTGGTCACGGTTGACTACATCTTTAGTGTAAACAACAATTACTAGCTATGTAAATAACCATTTAATGCAAGTATAATGTGAAGTGCAGTTTTAAAATAGCGTTTGTGAGAACTTTTGTGAATTTTTGAGGCTAGAGCTGTTTTAAGTCGGGCGCAGCTGACTTTGAAACAGACCCTGCGCTGACCAGCAATTATCTTGTCCCTATTGAGAGAACCTCTGCCTTACATTACAAACTGATAAGGCTCTGAGTTATTTCTATTGCAGGTAAGATGTTGACCACTAATAACGGCTCCTCCAAACAAAACTTCAAATTAACCTAAAGGTTTTTTTAAAAGAGCTCCACTCTTGAAAAGTAGAGTTTCATAGTGGTTCATTTAAACCAGGGCTGTTCAACTAAATTGCTCCGGGGGCCACAGTTGATGCAGGCTAACAACTGAGGGGCCAAACATCCAGCAATTAAAGTCATTATGTAAATAAACCAAGTATTACAAAGATCTGTTACCTTTGAATTAGTTTATTTTGCTGCATTTAATCATGAATACAACGTACAGAACACTATGTAATAAAAGCAGTGATAAAACAACAAAAACAAAAATAACACATTATGCCTCTTATTTACCACAAATAATATTTTGACATCTCTGACGTGCCAAAATTTTAAACCAATTTTATGTTCACTTTCATAGTTTTATCAGTCCTGGGTGTTCATTGAAATGGTTTTAACCAGCTTATAGCCAAGATTCTGACGTTTTTGTAGATACCAAACATGTTTGGACTTAAGAGATGAACGAACCAATTGGCGGGCCTAACTTTGGTCACTCGCAGGCCGGCAAGCGGAATAGCCCTGATTTAAACACTTGAATGACTTTTTACACCACCCTCACTTTTGCAACAGACATTTTTTTAAGCTGAAGTCAGAATAAAGCTTGGTCCATTACCAGCAATGACCCATGTAAAAACACAAACATTTTGCACCCAACATGGCAGCTTTAGGCACATGCTCCACATCATCTCACTGATTTTGGTTTGTTTCAGCYTTACAGCGCCACATACAGACCTGTCGTGGTGATTTCATCATTTTGGGTCGTTTACAAGTTTTCCGTGTTTTTATAAACGGCAAATAAATTGTTTTAGAAAAACCTATGATTTGTCCAAACTGAAGTTGTTCAAAGTGTTATCTACTACAGGTATAGTTAGTAAAACAGTGAACCTCAGTTAAAAATCTGAACTACCGCTTTAATTGTATTTAACTGGTTAAATAATCTGGTGGTCCGCTCACCAGATGCACTCTCATATGTTCCGWAGGGAATATTGTGAATTCTTGGTCACAAGGACCTTCTTCGGTTGCTTCAATCAAAAGTACTAAATGTACTTGAATTTGTTTTTCTTTTCAAATGTTGCACATTGCACCTTAAATGTTTTCAGATATGTTTTCAGACAAGTATTCAGAAACTGGAATGGTGTAATTTCGTAGCTTTGGTTATTTCCATTATTATTTTTTTAGCAGCGTGTCTCACCCTCTGATGTATTGTCATATTAAAAGGCCCCAGAATGTGTTTAGTCTGTAGGCAAATGTGATGCATGACTAAACTGAATCTCTAGACTGACTGTCCACACTGATATTTGCAAGTGCTTAGGTCATATTTGTATTTTAGGCATTGTTATCCAGTCTGCCTTGGTTGCTGTGGTAATGGCATAGGCATGGAAACTCACACTGAGAGGTGTTTCTTATGTCCCTTTAATTCTGTCTCTTTCATACGTGAGAGCATTTGATTGCCAATTACCGGGAGCTGTTGTGTTAGTTACATTGGTTTGTTTTTAAACGCACAAAGATTTGACGATACCTGGGTTTAAGAAATAGTTTTCGAAACGTGCGCGTCTAAAAACTCGTCTGTTGCCGCAGCCCGAAGATAACCGTTAGGAGTGACCTCCTAACGCCTAACTGATCATTTTCCTCCTTTTCTGAAACGGTCGCTGAAATCTTGTTCACACTTCACATAACAAGGCACTCGTGAGTTGGACAGGTTGCCAGTATCTTGGCTTTCTCTTAATGTATGTACAATCAGGACAGATGGGAATGAGTCAAAAGCCTTCTGGTGTGGAAGGCAGCATAGAAGGGGAAGTGATCCCCCCCCCCCCCCCCAGCCTCCTATATAATGCACGGTCAAGGCAGGTGGGGGCCACGGGTCAACAACTTAGTCAAGAATTGCGCCACTGTAAGGCTGTTGGCAGGACACAGGGTGCTGCGTCGCTCCTGCCTGAACTTTAGCACCTCTAAACTCCTCCGCTGCCCGCCCATTTGCCAACTGTCCCAAGACAGCTTGCCAATCAGATGCTCTTAAAAACAGTTTGATAGATTTTTTTTGTACAGTACATGCTGTGGACCTCAGAAAAAAAAGCATTCTGTGAAATTGTTTTACATTCAGAAGCCTTAAATCTTGTTTTACCACATGCAATTTGTTTATTTATTTAAATTGATATGCAAAGTTGCTGCTCTCAGCTGGTTGTATAACTATAGCAAAACTGCAATCTTTCCAGGGAGCTGACATGCTGTCACATCACTCTTGTCATGCTGTTTTTTTTTCTACTACAGCTCTAGCTTCATTGGCACCACACATCCGTATATATTAGTACACTTAAATAATAGTAAATCTAAGCTCTCACACGACTCAGACAGAGCTGCCGTTTAGACTCTCACATTTGAGTCACGAACAGATCAGTCGAAGGAAAATCTGCTTTTTTATTTCTAGGAAAACATCTAAACAATTGATAATGAATTGAAGGATAATTAAAAAAAATACAAACATATTTACTCAAGCTGCATATGTATGAATGGAGTAGTTAAGCAGTGATTTGTGTCAGTGCAAATTCTGCAGTTAAACTAATGTGTTTAACTTTCAGTGCCCTGCTTCCACCCACACAGGACATCTGGCTGCATATTTCTATGCAGGTAACTAATTTGCACTTGTAGCCTTCAACGTATTTTCTCAGTTTTACCAACAGTCATTATGTGAGTTGGATTGATGCCTTGTCATATGTCTTCACGGGAATCACACTATAACTTAGCAAAGGGGGAGTAGTTGGTTTGCTGGTTCTTGCAGCTCAAACTAGGGCGCAACTAATGGTAGCAGTGGAAACTATCTAAATCCAGCAAAACAGGCAAATCATAGGTGTTGCAGCTTGATAAGGCTCTGAAACATCTTGGACTTTGAGAGTTGCTTATTTGACTTATTTTCTGGTGTTTGGGTTATTTGGCTGCATTAATTTGCACACTTGAAGAGGCACTTTGTTCTATGGATTGATGACCACAACACACTTAGCCAGCTGCTGCCTCTGTTTTTGCATTTTCAGACGTGAGAGCAAAACATGATCTTAAAGGTAGTGCGAGGTTGTGAAATATGAACAGTATGGTAATATCTGTGGAATATTTGTGCTTCAGCTTAAAGAAAGGCTGTCATTCAAAAATCTGGGCGGGGATGTTGAAAAACAGATCCGCTGCTGACACAGCTCTGAGGCACCAGGTGAAATATGTACATTGTTACAATTATTGCTCAAATTTAACTCACGTCCTAAAACGTTTATTGTAAGAAGGTAGCAGTTTTTCTGTTCTGCTGTAAGAAACTATGAGGTGGTTTTGTTAGACAGAAATGTTGAAAAATAATCCAGATTCCAAAAAAAAAAGGACAATATGACAAGCATTTTTAGGCAGACAATTAGGCCTGCCCACCCCCCCCCCCACCCCAAAAAAAAATCTCCAATTTTTTTTAAATCGTTGATTTTTTTAAAATCCCAAATTCGATTTTTGATTTTAATCTATTTGCTTCCCACTTAACGAAGTGCCTCTGTTTCAGGTGTTGAAACAAATTTGTTGTACTCCTGCTTTTTGTAGGAAGAGCCTTCAAACAGATTTTGCAGTGAGGTGTTTGCTGCTCCAAGTCTGAGGTCGCGAAGCCTAACCAGTTCCAGATAACTGAAGAAACAGTGCCTTTTATTTATTTTATTTATTTATCATTATTTAACCAGGCAAGTCCCGTTGAGATCTCAGATCTCTTTTTAAAGGGCATCCTGGAAAGTAGATCCTCTTTGCTAGCTGCTGTACTGTCATACCAAGCGTCTTGAGGGACAAGCGGGGTGACCTCTTAACTACACCCTGTGTACACCCCAAAGAGTGCAGTGGTGGGAAAAAAATCTTAATTTTCCCAAATTAAATCTTTATAAATTACAAATTTGAATTAATTGATTAAATCAATTTATTTACCAACCCTACAGACAATAAAATTGTATACAGTATTAGTGTATGTCCTAGACTTCCCTCTTACCACTTCTGCCTGGATCAAGGACTTCCTTACAAATCATCCTCAGTCTATAAGGATTGGTGTACACAGCTCCTCCACCCTGACACTCAGCACTGGCTTCCCTCATGGCTGTGTGCTGAGCCCACTTCTATTTGCCATCTGCTCTCATTAATGCATCCCCTCTCACTCCACCAACACCATCAAATATGAAGATGACACTACTCTGATGGGACTTATAACTGGTGTAAACCATCGGCATAGGGACGATGTGCAGCGCTTGTGGGATGCCAGGAACAACCTGCCACTTAACATCCTAAAAACCAAGGAGATGGTCGTAGATGACAAGAAGAGCAAGGCTGCCTTCACCACTTTACATCA